CTCCTTACACCACAGTCATTTTGAGCTCTGCCTTGAACAGCAGCACAGGTAATTAGGTTCACATCTTGTGAGCTTACAGTTAATCTACTCTTTAGCGAATGCTACTCAAGAATCAAGTAAACCTCGCAGATTGTAGAAAAAGTAGTGTTTCTTATAAAAAGCTACCTGTAAGGAATGGTGATTGTTTTCCCTTCACTGGCTCTGTAATCAGCGACGCTTCCATGATGCTTATTCATTGCTGTGTCCGAGCTCATACCGTAGAATAGTTTGAACCTCTGAAACCGAACTTTCTATAGATTTTAAGTTTCTTTTGTATTCTGGAAGAAAAACGGTTTCACATCAGAACAACGGATCCCTGGGCTGAGGGGGTATGCCTTCTCCGACAAACAATCAGAAACACTTACCACAAGAATGCTGAGTTATGGGCAAAAGTCGAACCCCAGGCGGGAGTCGAACCCGCACCTCACGCTTTCCGGGCGAGTGCGCTATCCGTTACGCCACCAGGGCCGCTTTTCACCGCTTAGCTCAACGGGTTTTATGCCGTAGCCCTCAGCACTCACACGTTTAAAGGCAGCTGGCACGACAACTCGGTACTCGGCCCCAAAATGCTAGCAGGACGCTATATAGTGGGGAAAATGGCGAAAAAACGAAGTGAAACGGTCAAAAACCTTCGTTCTTAATGACTCAAAAAGCAATTTCGGACGAGTTTCCCGTAGGCATCTTGCCAATAACCGCTACGGCTGCACTATGTACTCATATATCCATGCAGCACCGCAGCCGCTTCATACCAATCCCTTCGCTTCATATTTTACTTAGCAAATGAAGCAATACGAGCATCAGGTGCGGTCGTCATTTGGGGCGGGGCGGGCGCGATGGCGTAGGGTCGATATGTGCAGCTTGGCTAAGGTTTATAAGGGTAGCATCCTGGAACTACCAGCGCTTGGCTCAAAGTCGCGGAATTCACCCTGCCACGGTAATTAATTTCTGACTCTCGGGAATTTAAATCGTCAATGCCGTTTTAAAGGCAGCGGCCGCGATCAGGTGTCGAAAGTTTGAAATATGGCGTCAGGATTAGAGTGTTCCGCGACGATTAACCCTTGTACCGGTTTCGCGGGCAAAAATTCTATGGGAGGGGCGCTGTAGCGCAATATAGGTTCAGTGGCTCCTCCTTTTTTCCAGTGACTCCGCCTCCAGACTCCGCCCCTAATGACCGACTTCCAGTGAAAAATGAGATTGCAGGACGAAAAAGCATGATAATCGCCACTTGTACGATCGTAGAAATCTTATCGGTGAATCAGCCGTGCATATGAGGGCGTAGTTTTGGAGATAGAGTTGATTGGGCACGTACAAACTGGGATCGTAATGGGGTTGTAATTGTCATTGTATTTTTGTGCTTTTTTTTTTGTTCACAGTCGAGTTACTTAACCCCTTGTCGTCTATATGGAACCCCCTAATCCACCATCTGAGATGGCGAGTAATCGCGGGTTCTTCCTTTTAAGATGGCGAGCTCATACAGCAATATCTAACGATTACGGCTGACCGGCTCGCCACGTTAAACGTGTGAGTGTTGATAGACGACGGCATGAAAGCCATTGTGCTGAGTGGCCCTGGTGGCGTAACGGATAGCGCACTAGTCCGGAAGGTGCGGGTTCGACTCCCGCCTGGAGTTCGACTATGCGCATAAGTCAACATTCTTCGGTGGTAACCTTTGAGAGCGAACTGCACGGTAAATACAGCAGTTATCACAATACATAAACCTCAGAAAAATCAGTAAACAGCGAATCTGTGTCCGCGGGATTTAGTACGGATGCGGGATTGGCTCCTTCGCCGGAAAGGATAAAAATCAGCGAACTCGAAAACTTTTTTCTCGAGGTCAAGGCAAATACGGCTTCCAAATGATGCTCCCAAGGCACCCAGGGTTCTCCAGCATCTTAGCGTTCGTTTCCAGGAATCTGTCCACAGTCTTATGTAGCTGGCCCAAGCACCGTTACGCTCATGAGATTTGTTTGAGCCTGATCACCTCTCGAACGATCTAGGCAGTGAGAAAAGGTTTGTAAGCTTCTCGATAAAGCATACATAAATATTGGCCCTCTGTCTTCCGTGGCGACGTGAACACAGTTGGTTGAAGCATAGGCAAAAGTGTTTTTCCCCCTCCCTGCATAATTGTGGTTTACACATGGGCTGACTCACCCGTCCGTTTTGCTCGATGATCTCACCACCGCTTTGATCATGACCAGCAAGTAATCCGCCAATCATAACGAAATCGGCTCCTGAATCAGGTTACCGTCCCGTGCAGCTAGGAATCCGTTTAAGGTATCAAACCTGCTCCGAATGCTTTTGCCACATCGCCAGGATTTGTGCATCCACCGTCGCTCATCACATGTCCACCAAGGCCATGGGCAGCGTCTGCACATTCCAGAACCTTAAGAAGCTATGCTGCGCTACGATTGTATGAACAGGCGGCGCTGTTCCGCTTGGAGGGGATATTTTGTTAGTAAACTATTTCGAGCTACATTTTCTCAACCTTACCGCGCTCAGTTGTGGATAACCGACTCCTGCCTTCTTCCGGGTTGTGCAGACTGATCCGGGACCGATTCCTACCTAGTAAATTATTAAGTAACTCTCAAAAAATAAATCCAATTTCAGAAACAACATGCAAACCGCTAGGTAGCTTTCCAGTGAGACACCTTAATGATATCAGCTCCTGAGAGCAGCAACTCTTCCACCATCTCACACGTGACAACGTTCCCAGCCATTATCGTGTGCCTGAAACACTGAAATATGAAAAATGATTGATTTCTTCGACTTTTTCAGTTTTTTCTTCCGTTATGCCTCCACATCGCTCAGAAGTGCAAGTCGGCGATTTTTGATTAACCGCGATCTTGCTGAGAACTGAGTCATTGGCGCTTTCAGGGTTGAGCACTAATCTACCTGCGACTTTCTGAGGGAATCACAAGTGGGCTCCAAAAGAAAACAATTTCCACAAATTCTTCTGACCAGTTGCGGAACCAAGGTAAGCCCTTAATTCTCTCTGAAGCTGCCAAAAAACGCTCAAGAT